AATTCTCACTAGCAATACAGGCATAACTAGTCCGTTAATCCTCATGCGGAAATCTATGCACTAGGATCTAACTTCCAGTCAACTAACTCTTAACATTCATTAAAAATCTCGGTGGTTCTCATCAAAGAAAGTCTAGGCAAGACAATCTAGGCTAGGTGTCAAAATGGTTATTCTAGGGGTAAGGCTTAAAGTGTTTACGGGTTACCTGAAGATCTGGAGAATGCAAGATATTATGCAAAACCGCAAGAGGGAGTGAAGCTGTTGGTATCCATAGTTTTCAGTCACTTTTTTCTTGCCATAGATTCCTTGTCTTCTCCCTCAGGTTCTCTCCTAACTCTCCCAGACTTAGATTTTTGTAAATCTTTCAAAAACATAGCTCTATAAATGCTTAGTAGATGCTTCTTGCTCCACAAATTTTGACAATCTAAGACTCATTAGGCTTTTTGTTTCCCTCTCTCTTTTCATTCGTTTTTTTTTTTTTTTTTAGAAGAGAGGGAACACCTTTAGATATAGAGTCTTCAAGAGCACGAAATTACCAGTTAAAATCTGTCTTGTAAAGCTTCATGAGGTTTCTGATACTCTTCCTTCCCCATTCTTTTCAGTCTCCTTTGTGAGTGACTGAAAACTGCGTCGCTCCTCTTCTCTCCGACGTTTTTGCACATATCTGCTGATATAAACTAAAGAGAGAATGCATGAGGATTGAAAACAAGGGTTTTGGGTTTAGGGTATGGTACCAGATAAAGATAAACTGGTCATCTAGGACGACAAAGAGTGGTAAAAGTGAGGGTAAAAGACGTCCTAGATGTGTATGTCGATGCCTGCTTAAAATCAAAGATGAGAAAATTAGATGTCAATATTAAGGTCAAATAAAATGAGCTAGTATATCCTGTCAGAAAGAATCTCCATAAATAGAAGTCCTCTGGTGGGAGTTCGTAGTGCAAGTACTCTAGCTACCGCCTAGTCTAGTGCTAACCACAAATGAGCTATCATGCATAGTGTAGAAGCGTACAGGTCTAAATCATCATAGTTTTGTGTCAAACATTCCTGAAAAATACTTAATGTCGAATAGGTTACATATTAAAAATTTAAAAAGTGCTTGAAATTTGAAAGCAAAAGCCAGAAAATGATTAGTACGGATAGACATCCTCCCCCAGACTTAAATCACACTGTCCCCAGTGTGAAAAAGTTGGTGAGAAATGGTGAATAAAAACGAAATAAAATCAGATAAAAGAAAAGAAAATGATGATAGAACTGTGATGGCAGTGAAGTGCTGATCAATCACTCATCCTCCGATGTGTCTGCTGCGAACTGGTGATGCTCCTGTAGGAAGGTGACAACGCGCTCAAAGCGTCGTCCCTGTCTCTCAACTCTGCGCTCCAGATCAGAATGTGTATGCGATGATGTAGATGATGAGGTGTGGCCAGTCAAAACAGATGGCTGAAAGTGAGCACGGGCCGCAGCTGCATCGTGTTTTGCCTTGGCCACTATGTATTGGCTAATGGTGAATGGTAGACGAGGTACAGATGGCAGAAAATCATCGGGTTCTGGAGTCCATCGCGGACGTCCTCCTTTACACAATCTCGGGACTTATGGTGAAGGCAAGCTGACTCGGTGCTCCTCAGTGCCAGTGCAATACTTGTAACCAAACCTGTCTGGATCGAAAGCGGCACGAGAGATAGTGTGATCGCGAGAGAGATAAAGTAGGTCATACCAGACATCGGGGAGTGGATCATCAGATGAGAAATCGAATCCTACAGCCAGTAGTATCGCTGTAATAGCACTCCCGTAAGCTGGAGTAGCATCCTCGCAACCATGTAAATCATGCTTCACCTTTACCATGTTCTGTGCTATGATCCAGGCAAAGCAGGCAAATCGTGGGTCGTTCATAAATGGCATCTGAAGTGTAATGAGCTCGGTCTTCAAAACACATCCCATGCTGGCTCTAGAGAAAATCGTGTGTGCTAAGAGTTTGTGCACAACTCTCACTGCTGGATAAGTAAGAAGGGCTGACTTGGCTCTCCTGCTATCATAGACTCCATGAACCATCTCTCTCCACAAGTTAAAATCGGGTTCATCTTCAAGGTAAATGCCATCGGTGTATGGAAGCTTAAGAGCCTCACAAAGTTCAGAAATGGTGAGCGAGTAAGGCTGTCCGCGGATAGAGAATGACAAGATGTCAACTGATGCTCTGGGTTCCTCCTCTTTGTGTGGTGGAGTGTAATAGTTGCTAAGAACTCGCGGACTAGCTCAGGATAAGTCGGAAGGTTCAGCTCCATGTAGGGTCTCAGCTTAAGTGCATCGATGTACAAGATCACATCCTCTCTGATTCCAAGCATCTCAAGTGTATGATAATCAATGCAAGGCGTGGGTTTGATGTTCAGCTTCTTGAAACGTCTTGCATAGTCCACTATCGGGTTTATCTCCTTGCCAATGTATCGAATCTGTGGTGGCTCAGGAGCTGCTCGTGTTTCTCTTGAGTGCTGGAGCAATCTCATCACATAGTTTCTTCTTCTCAGTCTGGCTTGATTCAGCATGTACTCTCCTAGAGTAGCATCATCGGGGATGTCCTCAGAGCTGTCACCAGTGCGACGGCTTCTTCGGGATCTGGTTTGTTCCATTTTTCTGCAAAACGTAATGATTCTTGGAAAAAGAGTGAATATGGATGCTGATTTTAACACATTAAGATCAGTTATACTAATACTAGTATAAAGAGATTAATTAAAACCATGAGCAAGTAGAATTGACATTAAATCAAAGAAATCGAGTAGTTCATGACTAGATTCGGATTTTTGATGTTCTCAACATAGAAATCTTCTAAAAATCGGTTTTAATGAGCAATTTCCATGTCAAACCTATAGGTTACCTAATACTAATCACTAATCACACAAGACTTAATCAGATTCATCAATTTTTCTGTTCCAAATTCGATTTTTATAAAGCATGTAGAATCCAAATTTCAAAAATCTCAATTTCTCTTAAGCTAGGTGTTAAAATTGATTTTTAGATAACCTAAATGGATAATCTATTGTTCTTAAGCTCTATATTGATTAACCTAAATGGATAATTTAAATTTCCCAAAGTTGAACGTAGTTGGGCCTAATTATAACAATTTGTACCAGAATTTATAATTTCTTAAATTTGCACTGCACGAATTAAACCCATTTAAACCAATTATACAACATTCTATTATTTAGGGTTTCTTCATATTGTACGGTTATTTCACATATTAAAAATTAGATTCATAATACTTAACTGAATTACTAGGCGATCTGAGTGGATCCTTACTAAGATGGTGCAGGAAGTGGTGGATGAAAAAGATGAACAACTTAGGAGGCTGGTGTTTGGATTTTTTCTCCAAACTCTTCGCTCAGGCTCCTAAGTTGCTCATCTTCTCATCAACCACTTTCTGTTCGATCTTAGGGTTTCATATCGAAAAGGCTAAGTGATGCGGAACGAAGTCGTCGAGCAAAGAGGATGAGAAACTGTGGAGAGTGATATATGGATTTTAACTCATGCTCCACAGTTCCTCATCCTCTCGTTCACGACTTCATCAACGAGGTAAGCGTTTCTTTCTAAAAGGAAATGAAAGGTTGGGGTGATGAAATGAGAAGGAGACTAGGGTATTTAAGGATAAGTGGGCGGTGGTTGGTGACTCCTGTACACATTACAGTTATAATGTAAGACTGGTACAACTACCAAGCCTGGTAAACGATATCATTTATTATCATTAATGTATTAAAAATAAATAAACAAATTCAATTCCAAATAATAATTATTGTTGGAAACGTGAATAACAGAGAAATTCATTGCAAATACAAATTAAGTGAAAATATCAAATTAAAAAAAAAAACAAAAATACAAAATAAGAAAACAAAAACATATCTTAAGAAAATGCGGCCGTGCCATTTTGAGAGAGCTCACTTGATGAACAGACATTTATTGAAAATTAGGGTTTCTGACAAGTCAATAATAAAGAGATGTTACAATGATTTAAATGAAATGAAAGAAATGAAATGAGTAGTGGTATTAAGGAAAATTGAGGCCTTGGTTATTATCATTAGTCTATTGAAAATTAATAAAATTCATTGAAACAATTTATTCATTGAATATATATATATTTTCTGATCTTACCCTGGAGAAATGTTGTCCTTCAAAAACACATAAACCCTAAAATAATCATCAATCTCTTATTCGCTGATCTCAGACTTTTTATCAGATGAAATATCCATCGTAATTACACCATAAAAGCAAGAATGATGGGTATTTCACATGATGAAGAGTCAGATCAGCGACAGAGTTTGGTCAGCGAGTTTGGTCACCTTATGTTGCAGACTGGGAAATACAAGGTTTAGGTGAAGGGATATCTGAGACGTCTTCATTGTTCAGGCAAGAAAAACAAGATTACAAGTATAAGGCATTGATTGCCCATGCTTATACTTGTAATCTTGTTTTTTCTTGCTTGAACAAAATTAGGCTATGGAGGATGCAAAGACGATGTAGGTTTTTGGATTCTGTTTTTCACTTTTGGTTTTTGGTTTTCAGTTTTTGATTTTAGAATTTTGTATATCTTCGTTTGTAATTTTTGGTTTAACCTCAGTTATTTTAAAAAGATATTTTTAAAAATAATTACTTTAAATAAGATAATAAATTCTCGTGATTTACGCTTATCCATTATGCGTAACCAGTATAAATGGGGCTATAAATGCGTGCGGATATGGAGTAAATAAAGAATAAATGCGTCGATTCTCGATGTAAAACTGGTACAACTACCAAGTCTTATCAGATGTTAGGGTTGCATGTAGGTTATTAATACGTCAACGTTACGAGACCCAAAAGTTTGTGAAATATTTCCATTAATCACAAAAAATACATAATAATAACCAAATAAAAACATAATATAAACATAAAGAAAACATTATAATAAGTTCAACAAAAATTAAAAAAAACATTAAAAACACAGATACATATTATTTAGAGTTTTTTCCGCCATGGATGTTATGTTAACCATCCATGGCGTGGATCCTGGTGAAGCTACGAGCGAGTTCCTCGTAGCTTGTCCTGTCTTTCCGGTACATCACCGACACCTCCTCCCTAACGACGTCGCCTTCCGCCACCTCCTCCCTAACGATGTCGCCTTCCGCCACCAGCGGATGCAATAGCATCTGGGCCACAGATGTCGCGATTCTCCACATATTAGGTATGAGCATCGGATGGAAGATGTTGCCATGGTCGCTCACATTGGGGTGGAAGATGGGGGTACGGAAGTGCACCTTCGGTGGCTTCCAGGGGAAATGCGGCGGAAAGATGATGCGGAGATTGAAGACACCCCCTTCGTAGGGAGTTCCTGACGGACCGGTGATGGTCGCCGCCCACACGTACATGTCCTCTGCCTCCACCCCGGCGGAGTATATCGGCGACGTGTTGATGACGCCGGAGGAAAGTTGTGAGGAAAGTGGGCCATTTGATGAAATTAGGGTTTTGAGTTAGCAAAGGGAAAGATAAGAGTTTTTTGGAAGTTTAGGGAATGTTTCTTTCTCTGCGATGGTGTTATGAGAAGGCGAGGGTATGGTATTTATAGAAGAAGAAATGAAGCAGTGGCATGCATTAACTGCGTCGTCTCATTATACAAATGTTGCCTTTCTCTATTCCCACACGCATCGTTTTAGATAACATAATTTAATAACAACAAGACAGTTACCCGACAAACAAAGAGCAACAATATTTTAAACCGACTAATACCAAACCGAAATCCTCTAATTAAATATAAACCGATTCTTACTACAGTAACCAAACCAATATCCTCAAAATAAATCTAAATCCGCAAACAACACGATCCCACAATTTAGTTCTTAAAAAAACCAAAAATTCAAATCGACAGCATGATAGAGGGAACATCTGGGACTGTTAATTCCTACTCTTCTTCTTCTTCTTCACATGTTGCACATCCCCTTCCTCGACTGAAGCACCAGGTTGTTCCTACATGGTAACAAAGATATGTGGTTTATACTATAGTTCTAGCTATTAGTACCAAATAATACCTATTAGAACCAAATAATTCCTGAATTCCAGTTCGTCTTCTGGTCAAATACGTTCTGACAACCGCTCTTGAATCTGTCCCACAATCCCACTCGGTGCTGGATATTTAGAGGAGGCATTCTTCGCTGGTTCAACTCGGTTTTTTCATCGTCCAAGCTCATATCCTTCCAGAATATTGATAACACTGTATTTTGACCACTTTTATGGATCGTTTTGAAATGCTTTTTCTATGTTTTTAATTGCTTTTAAGTACTTTAATTATGTTTTTCTAGTATTTGTAGTTCCAAGACTCGTTTCAGGTAACTTAGGGAAAAGCTTAACAAAATGGATAGAAAACCAGATTTCAGCTCAGAGTCAAACCGTCAGAAGTTCACCCCTGATTGAAGGGCTTCTCACCGTCTGATCCAGCTCAAATTTGGAGACCTTAAAGATGGAAGTATCAGCTTTCCAGTGCACTTTACAGCTTGGCAATCCAACGGTTCAATCAAAAGATACGCGAAAAGCAAGATGTCCCGTAAACCAGCCGACAAGCACCTCCACCCGCGGCCAAACACTCATTCCCCACGGTCAGGAGCATCCCGACCGCGGCCAAACACTTGTTCCCCGCGGTCACACTTGTCCCGACCGCGGCCATCAACCTCCAAGCCCAAAAAGCCCATTTCGAAAGCCCACATTTGGAGAAACCCTAAGTGACGTCCAGAGAGGTCTTGAGCACTATAAATACATGTCTTAGGAACCCTAAATAAAGAAAGAACCGAATATCATCTATCATTACTTCATACTTTAATTGTTTTTGCTTTAACTTTTAGGGAGAGAGAGATTTGTTCTCTTCAACCCTTGTTCTTTCTTTTTCAATTTCGGTTTCTATTCTACTTCTTAATATTATGTTTTTGATTTCGTTAATTATGTCTGAGTAGTTTTATTTTTGGGATTAAGGGATTTTCGATGGGGATTTATATGTTCGATGAGGATTCCATGAGCTTTTGAGCCGAATCTTAGAACTTTTTCTTCTGAATTCGTTTTTACTGCATGAGAGTAGCATCATAAACTACAATCTGATCCAGATGCTTGGTGACACGAAAGTGTTCATCAGGTATCAGATCTAGTTTGGGAGAGCAAAACAAACATAGGAGTGGAAACCTACCTATGGGCGATTTGTGAATTAGGACGAGTCTTAAACATAATGCATCTCTTCTCTTCCAGGGCCAGAGTGGAAACCTACTGGTCAGGGTTGAGAGAGATAGTTGTCTACGATCACGACAGTGGCGTATTCGTACGTCCGTGACTCCAGTTCGAAAAGTTTAAGGTAAAATCTTATCAATTTTACTCTCTAGCAATGTTTTGAATCGTTCGTACCCCAGAGAAAACTTCCCTGAACCCCAACGCCTTCTTTCTTATTGATTTACACCGATTTTCTTTCAAGCTTTAGTTCAATATTGTCTTTCCTTTTTAGTTCATTTTCATTTAAGCAATTAGATATCCGTTTTTTACATTTTTAGTCATTTTCGTTAAGTTTAGTTATTACGTCATTTAATCCCCGTATTCTCTTTTAATATTTCGTTTTTACATTTTAAACACACTACCAAACCCCCACAAAACCGTTTTGGTTCTAGACTTCCTTACTTTATACTTATTTCAAAGGCTTTTTGCAGGAAAAGATCCTCCTTCCCTGTGGATTCGATCCCTAAGTACTACAATCGATCAGCTGTGCACTTGCGGCTATTGATTTCAATTAGGGTAAAACTTGACAACCCTCGACACACCACATCAAGTCACCACCATCAAGTTTTTGGCGCCGTTGCCGGGGAAGGCACGCGTTTTCTTTTCTGCAAAACCCCGAGAAAGGTTAGTAAATCGACTCTAGAACCCCCTTTTCTGCAACTTTCCATTTTTCGGTTATTTTGTTTCCATTTCAGAAGATATGGATCCTATTAATCGAAATATACACTATGAGGAAGGTTTCTATAACACTCCTCAAGCCACCAGACGCAGAGAGAAGCAATATCTACGCAATCTCTACGGAGAAGTTCAAACCGAAGACTACAGAACCTTCCAGAAGGAGCCCTACGCACCTCAAATGGCAAACCCTAGATACTCTATGTATCGCCTACCTCACCAAGTTCTCCAGCAAGATGAGAACGTCCAGCTCAGCAACAGACTGAGTCAGCTCGAAGGCGTGATCAGACAGTTCATAGAAGCTCAAGCAACCGCTACAACTGGTCTAAACGAAAGGATTGATGGGATATCGAAACTTTTCAATGAAAAAATCGATAACCTAGCCTCACAAGTCAATTCAATTGAAGAACGTGCAACCAAGGACGCAGGTATGATCGCTAACAGGTTCAACAGCATGGAGGAAGAGCAAGCAAAGCACAACTATGAGCTTCACAACACCAAAAACAAAGTCATGGACCTGGATTTCAAACTTGATGACGTGGAAAAAGCCCTAAACGAAGCTAAGAACGAGTCTTATGACTTTACAGTCGAAGTTTCAGAGAAGGTGTACAAAGTCATCGACAAAACCGAAGAGCTTGACTCAACCATGGACAAAGTAGTCTATGCTCTTGATGAAGTTGAAGAAAAGGTTGAGGAGATCATGCAAGGACTTGGAGATCAGATTCCAGCAACCAAAACTAAAGACTCAAGTCCAGAGAGGAAGTACATCAAGCCAGAAGAAGACCCAGGAGACCATCCAGGAAGCAAAGGAGGAAGCAACAGCAGCAGAGCAACTCGGAGGCAAATCTCCACGGTCGCGTTGGCTCCGACCGCGGCCAACAAGCGCTCCCCCGCGGTCGTGTTGGGTATACCCGCAGCCCGTGGTCGCTTCCCCGCGGTCGCGTCACCTGCAGTCAGGGCCAACCGTAAAAACGTTCCAAAACAGTCCCGTTCAGCTCATACAAGCATCTGTGGGTCTGGTACACCTCCTGGGATGACTAAACCACTCCATCAACAACTGGTTTGCTCCATAAGCACCCAAAGATCTGAAGAAGAGGACAAGTCATGGCCTTGTAACATGGCTTTGTCTTGTGAAGATGAGTATGAAGAGCAATACTCTGAAGATGAAGAGTATGGGTTGTTTGTAGAAGATCCAAACGCAGGATATTCCTCAGAAGACGACTCAGGAGAAATTCAATGGATCACCAACAACATCAGTAGAGAAAAGCTAATGGAGTTCAACAACGTAGTGAGGTCATTCCCTGCTCATTTAAGCTTTGATGAAATCTTGAAACTTGGTCGTCTGCAAGTCTTTTTCAGGTACTGCAAGGAGACTAAAGAGGATATCCATAGATACTTTATGAGAGCTCGATACATGACAACACCAGAAGCAGCTGTCTATGCGATTCACCTCAAAAATCCGGAAGACTGCAGCCACTACACCAACAAAATCAGCAAAGAAAAGCTCGATGAATTTAATGATGTGGTTCGAAATTTGCCTGAAGGCACGTTTTCCAGAGCTTGCAAGGAATTTATGATAGGCCACTACTTCTGTGAGAGCAAAGAATCAATCCCTGAGATAGAAGACTTGTTCAATCATGCCAGAAGAGGTAAACCTGTTCGAACACTTAACAAAATCGATGGTGTAGGTCAGTTTCTTATCTCTTGTTCTATTAGAGGAGAAATGTTTAAAAACGTGCTATGTGATTCTGGAGCTTGTCTTAAATTGATGTCCAAGGCAATTGCTTTGAGACTTGGTATTAAACACCTGCGCAGGACTAGAGCAAAGATTAGTCTAGCTGATGATTCTAATGCAACACCTCAAGGAATAGCTCATGAAATTCTTTTGAGAATAGGAGATTGCATAGTGCCTGACGACTTTTACATTGTCGAAACGAGAGATGCAACATATCCAGTGATTCTGGGATGGTCTTTTCTAGCAACTTCCGGAGCTAAAATGGACTGGCCAAACCGGAGGATTTCATTTGCTAATATCAACAAAGATGTCTTCACAGAAGCTGTTCCATACAACAGCAAAGCAGGAAAACGTTCTGCAACAGAAGAGTTTGAAGAAGAACTTTGGAGTGACGAAGAACCTGCTAAGCAAAGCAAGGAGATGTCGAAAAAGACTTGTCTCAGGACAAGGTCTTCTTCATTGGAATAAGTCACGTCCAACACCAAAAGTCGAGCTAAACGACTTAAAACAAAAGCGCTTAATGGGAGGCAACCCATTTAGGTATTGTTTTCTTTAGGATTTTTCTTTCTTTTTCTTTTGATCTTTTTCTTTTTCTTAGTTTCAGGTGTTTCTTATAAAACAAAAAAGCCAAAAAAATCAAGAAACCAGAAAAAAACCAAAAAAAAGGATGGTACCTGACTGCTCGGCCCAGCAGGAACCAAGGAGAAGCAGGAA